CATTCTACTCCCATTCCTACATATCATTGTGCCACTCACTTTATTGTTGTGTACACCCGCGTGAAGACATTCTACTCCCATTCCTACATATCATTGTGCCACTCACTTTATTGTTGTGTACACCCGCGTGAAGACATTCTACTCCCATTCCTATATATCATTGTGCCACTCACTTTATTGTTGTGTACACCCGCGGGAAGACATTCTACTCCCATTCCTACATATTTCAAGGTAGGACTGCCCATTTTTTTCAAACCAAAACAGCAAATTAACATCTAGCAAGAGTAGGAAAGACTCACACAGAGCCACACCTAAGGGCTGGGGTATCTCCCATAAACTAATAGGATCATCGCAAAATAAAAAAAAGAAAATCACAGCACCCCTACTTTTTATTTGTTTCATTTTTGTACATTCTGGACCATCCTAGATTACACACCACAATAACTCCACAATAAACCATTTCATATGCTGCTTATATGTTCATTTTAATAAGCTGGAAACAGTCAAGCGGAAAAGAAATCATACAAAATTTTGACCACCTTAACATTTCCTCAGATGGCTGAGTTCCATGTTCCGGTCACTGAGTGGAGCCTGGTCCACCGCAACCGTGACTTGACCCTTAGATGGCCGTTTGCATTTACACTGAGGTGTCTTCATATCTACACTGCAGGTGTAAACCAGGACACTGCTCAGCGTCTGCGGTCTTCCTCAGACTGCACACCTCTAGATCTATGTTCTAGCAGCCACTCACTACGTGGCACCTCCTCTTACTGCGGTTTCCATGTTCCAGTTTTATAAAAAAAAAATTGGGATAAACTGTGCTTTTAGCTTCCGGATTGATCAAATAATGTGGTCAACAATGGCCGAGGACAAATATGTAATCAAACCTAATCTAGGAGACCACAACCTTCGGTTTCAGCTCTTTTCTAAGACCCAGAAGTTCTTAACTCTTCATAGCTGTCATGGAAGTAAAGTTGAACGGAATTTGATAAAGGCATTGACGCTTCTCCAGCACCCAACAAGACGCTGCGCTGCAGACTGTTGTTTGTTAATTGTATTTAAATATGGAATGTAAATTTGACGTTTGGCATTTAAAAGTCAAACGCGTAATGGAGTAAAAGCGTAATGGCCCACAGAGGGTCAAAATCCTGGCTATTAAAATAAAACAAGTAGTCTTTCTGCAAACCGTCATTCGTTCTCCTCAGTGGACCGCCATTAGAGCGAAAAAAAAAAAAAAAAAAAATATATATATATATATATATATATATATATATATATATATATAAACTTGGACTAGTGATTCGCTCAACGCTATGTTTACTAAAGAAAGTAGAGTATGCATCTTTAAATGGCAACATATTGCAAACTCAAGAACTTCTGCCTCAAGCGATGAAAATATCTGTCTGACAATAAAAGTGTATATCGGAAATTCAGCAATCTAGCTTTTACTAGTAAATACACTGGTCATATTTCTTTTTTCCTTCTCAATAGAAATTACAAGGGCAATATTAACTTCAAAATTAGTAACAAAAAGCATAAATATTCAAGCAATTGTCATTTTAAATTGTAATCTTTTGATACTTTAGATATGATTTGCTTTAATGCTAGCTAGCAGAATATTAATTTTCACATTATTCCACGTACCAGTTTCAGCATCCTTTCCATTGCTGGGCTTGATGTGGTCCCTGCTAAAATTTGGTCATTAAATAGGGTCATGCGGCGCCTAATATGGTCAAGTAAAAACAATACGCGATATAGGTGAACGTGTGAAAATAAATGCCTTGCTTTATAAAAATATTGGATGATGTTACTGAGCTCTGTCACTATTTTCCCGCAAAATGAGAATAGCAGTGTAAAGCATTTGAATATCAGTTGGTGAAAACAGAATTAATATTTTTGCTTACAAATTTCAAATAAAGCATTTTTACGAATCAAAACGGTAGCACTTGACAAGCGAGAGTCGATCACTCACCGTCTCCTGCGTTCTTCTGTTCGTCACTTAATGTCCAGATAGGAAGAGAATGTCAAGATTAACTATTAAACTGATGAAAAGCGTTTTAAATGACAAAGAAGGGTCAGTGAGGAAACTCCTCAAGCGAAAAATTTATTTCTGGCTTTTCTCAATTCACTGAAACTCATAAATATCATGCCATGTGACCCCGTGGCGTCAGTAGAAGCTACAAGCACAGTATGGTAGACATTTTACTGTTGTATCAAAATTACGATGACACTACAGAAATAAAACGAAGACTTACAATCGTAAAGAGTGCCACAATCGCCCTAACTAAGGTCTGGAAAGACAAAAAAACATTTCTTTAAACACAGAGAAGCGATTGCTCAACTCTCTAGTTTTTTCAATAGCTTAATATGGCTCGGAATGTTGGGTGATGAGAAAATCAGACACGAAGAGATGAAGAAGTTTTGAATTATAGTGCTATCGACGTGTTCTTAGCATCACCTGAGTTACACGGACTACGGATGATGAAGTGCTGAGACGATTTGGATGCAAAAACAGAACTCCTTGACTTTCTCACAGAGAGAAAGCTTACCTTCATGGGACACATTCTGAGAGGCTAACAAATGGAAAAATTATTACTTATGAAGACAGTATACGGACCTCGAGGACGCGGTAGACCTAAAACGCGATACAGTGACGATCCGACGGACCTCTTTGGGTCCATGGTTCAAGCAGACAGAATGGCACAAAACCGTGACCAATAGAGAACTTTTGTGAGGGAGCCACGGCAGTTCGGCTCCGACCCAACCGTTAATGATGATGACCAAAGTTACATATGGCGCACGATTCCATGTAACTAATATAAATCACTACTGCCAGTTTCTTATGCGATTCAAGGAAAGTCCGCATAAAAAATGATAAAAAAAATATATGTATCACTCGGTTAGCCAAAAATAATAAGTTTGAAACTGCACCTTGTTTAAACCTCCGACTCATTTAACCTATTTATCCACATCCCTCCAGTTAGTAAATGTCTGCCAAATGACGTAGTGATGTATGCGAGCAATGTTTTATTTCCCTCAAAAATTGAAAGAAGGTTATGTACATATAGATCAGGGAGATGAAGCAGAAAATATCCATTCAAATATAATTTCGAATAATATTTCAAAATATGAAAAGATTCCCAACCAGCACGTTCTAGACTACCTGTTGTTGGCCAGGTGCCATGTCTACTCCGCTGTGTGGCGCTGTGATTTCCCAGTAAACATGGAAGCTGCGGTCGACAGAACAAATATAATCATACGCAAGCTATCGTCGGATGAAAATGAATGTAGATTGGTGTGGAGGATGGTAATGAGAAATTTAACTAACTCAGTGTTTTGGGGAGCATTTAGGAGAGTACTGAGGCAGCACTATATTATAAGTGCGTTTCTTGCCACTTGGGCTCTGAACTGGATTGCGACGGAATCGCCACTTCTAGCCACCTTGGCGGCGCTCGCTGTCTGGACGGCAGCCAGTTACGGTATAGTTTGCATAGGACGCCGGACTCGGCAGAAATCCTATGAAGAAGGGAGACGTAATCTGTACAAGTATTATAACAGGGAGAAGACAGGGTTCTGGGTGGTGGAATATGCCGGGAAGATCATTGGATCAGTGGCTGTCGATAAGAGAAGTGAGTGTGTGGCAGAGTTGAGAAGAATGACAATAGAGCCGGGTTATAGACGATGTGGACTTGGGAAGGCACTTGTTGACACAGCACTGGAATTCTGCAGGAAAAACCACTATAAGGAATTGATCTTGACAACCTCACAATTTCAAACTGAAGCTCAAAGTTTTTACGAAAAATGCGGCCTAAAGAGATTTGGGGTTATCCAGGTTCGCGGCATATATCTATGGACTCCTTACAATTTATACAAATTTAGTCATTCCTTTCATGAAAAGGGTGATTAAAACATTGTGTAATACAATATGATAAGAGCATGACTATGTGCAGCATGTAAAACTATACCTATGTTACAATTACAGCTGCCTAAACATATATATTTGCCTTTCTTATCTTATCTGGTTCATTTCGCTATGTAGGTTAGGTAGAAATGGACGTGTCTCCGTAAACCATGGTTTCACTTTACTAACAATTACACCACATTTACTGCGATATGATTGTAATCTATGTTCATTTTTCATGGAACGCTAAAAACAGACAAACATTTGTTGCATACCGGATGACAAAAGATGGAATAGTCATGCGGTAAATTAACAAGATTTTGCGGTTTCTTAGATATATCGAGCCCGCGTATAACCAGCCACAAGCTCGTGAGGCTCACGTGATATGATGCATGCTGTCTAGCAGAGGAAATTGTATATGATATTATGCTTGACTTATACCAGGTAGCAAAGAACATCAAGGAACCAGAAATAGCATTGCATCCCACAAAACATTTATTTTACGTTATCAGAAAACGACCACAATTGAACATAGTCGTTATTAAGCCTGCTTTTGGTCAACAGGATACGTACGTAACTTTAAATTAGGTCCGATAAGGTTTCAAACTGTCCACATATATCCATTCAAGCGCCCTCAGTGGAGACAGCAGCTTACAGAAATGAACGCCAGAAAGGTGTCCCGGTTTCGGTTGTACAGGTGTGACGTAAGCCGGTGACGTCACAATAAAGCCTGGTGTTGCATTCCCTGGAAGATAACCAAGACCGATGGAGGAAAAGTTCCACTCTTCCACAGACTGTGACAGCACGTCGTCGCTGAATGCGATGTCTCTTCCGCGAAGACCGTATCTTATCTTGGCAATATTGGACGAGAAAGTTAAAGCTACCCGGAAGGCATCCTGTAACAAGAACAGTGATTTTAATTGGCACATGCCTTCTAGAATGTAGGATAAAGTGACCTGACCAGTTGTTTAGTGTCTACACGGTCGTTTTCATACTGAATCCTGATTAAAACCCTTCCATCTGGAGAAATTTAAATCAAACAATTTATACAGAAACAAAACAGACGTCACTTGAACTCTGTGTACACACACGTGTGTACATGTGTTTACCTGGTTAATACCCTTGCATGTGGTACTGGTGCCGTAGGTGGCGTTGGGAAGAAGGCGCCGTATGGCAGCTTGACTTTTACACTTGGCCTCGATCTCAACAGTTGCCATCGCAGTAATGGACTGAAATCTGTAGACAGAGATGGAAGTCACAGAATTTTTATCGAGGTTTATATATTCATTGCTTTTCTTATAAGAGTAGCTTTATTAACTCAAAAATAAGTAACCGTTTATCATACAAATCAATTCCATATGAGAACCATAACATCAGATATATCGAATATATCAGATTTAGTGAAACGGACCATGCAGTCCCAGTATGAACAGCCCAATGTCATGGTCCATGATGTCCCAGTGTGAACAGCCCAATGTCACGGACCATGCTGTCTCAGTGTGAACAGCCCAATGTCATGGTCCACGATGTCCCAGTGTGAACAGCCTTATGTCACGGACCATGCTGTCTCAGTGTGAACAGCCCAATGTCACGGACCATGCTGTCTCAGTGTGAACAGCCCAATG